GTCATCCGTCGGTCTCCATTTCTGGAGGAGATGGCAGTGCACAGGATGACAGTTGAGGTGTGTTGGGGGGAGGGAGAAGTTAACTGTGAGAGTGCTGGTCTGAACGACTGCTCCCTCTCCCACTTTTACCCCAAACATTCTCCTTTCCCCAAGCCTCTTGAAAGTGGTGGATTTTTTTTCCCCCCCCAAAGTCTGGAGATCCAGTTGCTGAGTCCTAGGGAAAGAAGTGGTTACCACCAGAGTTCTGTATAGCTCACACCTTTACACATACACATAGTCTCCGATATAAGATGTGGTCTCCAACCCATCTGGCCTCCCTAGGCCAGTGGTGGTGAGAGGAGGAGGTGGATACTGAGCAGACACCTGTGTGATGCTAAGAGAAGGGGCAGATCATCAGACCCCTAGAAAGGCCCACCTCTTTGCTAGCTGCCCCTGGGAACCTCAGTTTTTGGATCTCAGGTCCAGTTACTAGTTGACACCTTGGGAGGATTATGCTAATTATACTCTGATTCTTCACCCTTATAAAAATCTCTTCACTCTGCTTTGTCTCCACTCTCCTTCCCCTCACAAATACAGCGTGGGGTTTGAGCAGGGCCTCCTCCCAGTATGGAATCTCCTGGGTCCACAGAGCAGAGAGTTAGATGACTCTGGGTCTCTATTCTCTCTGTTCTGTTCAACGTATCTTTCAGCCATCTTCGCTTGGCTGTACTCTTCCTTAGGGCTAAGGTATCATTTGGAACCTCTATATTTTTATCTCTGCACTCCTCTTGTGTCTGCATGTCTCCACGTTTAGGGATGTCTTCCAAATTTGCCTCCTTGTGCCTCTTCCATTTTGGGAGTCTCTCCTGTTCCTCTAGGGCTCCTCCAACTGGGGGTAAATCCCATGGAGATGGGGTGCAAGTCTTCCTTTCTCCTCCCATCCAGGGTCGACCGCCAACCCAAAGACCATCACGCGCGGTGTCAGGGCCCGGCCAAGGCCAGGTCGCTTCTCATTGCGGGCACAGGAGCTGGGTAGATGACCCGCTGTCCCTCGCCCGCTCCAAGCCGCCCTCTTCCCGGACCCCGCCCCCTCCGCCCGCCTGGAAAAGGCAAATTTGACATTTTTAAATCCCGAGCCTTAGAGGGATCGATGCGGCCCGGGGGCCCCGCCCGGGGTCGATATTCCTGATTGGGAAGCGGACGCTGCGCCAAGCTCGAGTGTAAATCACCCGGGCTGGGGGAGGGGGTGCGAGGAGGCGAGCGCGACCCAGGCGCGGAGCTAGGCCGGGTCCTGGCTCGGGCCGGACCCAAGGACGACGCAATAAGGAGACCGACAGGCTTAAGAAACTGGGAAAGAAACCCGCTCGGGCCTCCCCCTCCTTCGCTCAGCCCTGCCAACTCCCAGGGCCGGCTCCGGTCTCGCTTCAGCTGCCGCCACCCTCCGTTGCTCCTGGAGCCGCGGGGGATGCCGGCATCGGAGCCAGCCATGCGGCGGCTCCTCTCCGGCCGCTCCCGCGGGGCCCCGGCTTCTGCAGCGGCTGTCACGGAGCCGACAGGCCGGGCGGGCCGGGAAGGGGCGGGTGGCTGCGGGGTAGGGGGTAGGAGATGGCCGGGAGAGGCTGGTGCGGCTCGGGAGCACAGTGGGCGCGCAACAGATGTTTGCAGAATTGAGGGACAGCAAGGTGGCCCCGGGCACCCAGCGGCGCGGAGCCGGAGGCACAGGGCGGCCCAGACGTGGCTGGGTGGAAGCCTGCTGGGCCAGGAGAGGACCCCTCCAGTAGTTGGGGTAATAAAGAGGAAATGGGGTGGGCTTGGAAGTGTGGGCCCCACCTACAATTGCCTCCTGCCTCAGAGGTCTCCAATCCCCGCAGCGCTCTACTGGGGAAACTGAGGCAGCAGAGGCTGAGAAGGGCCAGGAAGGTTGAAAGCAGGATCAGCGACGAGGCTGGGGAGACACTCAGAATTCCCGCGTGGGTTTGTGTGTGAATTCACCCATCCGCCCGGAGTCCCCTTTCGGGCAAATACACCCCCACGCACTCCCGCGGCAGCGCAGACCATCCCCACCAGCTCCAGTTTATCAGGTCTCCTTCTCATTCCCCACCCCGCGCCAGTTTACAGAACAACAATTTGGGGAAAACAATCTGGGCCGAGTGACGGCCCCGTAATTGTGACAAAGTGAGTGCGGGCGACTGGAGAGAACCGGAGGGCGGGAGCGCGGCGGGGCGAGGAGAGGCAGGGGCGCCTCCCGCCCGCCCCGTCGCCCCCTCGTTCGCATTCTGGTCACCTCCCATCCCTCTGCTTAACTCTTCTCCAATTCCTCTTCTCCTAGCCCCTCGTGCCTCCCTTCTCTTGTTTCTCCATCGCTCTTCCCTTTCCTCTGGGTAACGACTCTTCTTCCGCCACCGCCCCTCCCCCGGCGCGCTTTTTCCTCGCTCACTTCTCCCTCTCTCCTCCGTCCTCCACTCGTTTCTCCATCTTTTCCTTGCTATCACTTCGCCCTTGGACCCCTGGCTCTCGCCACACAATCCCCTTCTCTCCCTCTCCTGTCTCAGCTTCCCAAGATCGAGCCCTGAGGCCCTTCCCGACCCCCCACTCTCTGGGAAGCTAACGCAGCCGGAGATTCCTGGGTTCCTCCCAGCCGCAGAGCTAGTAGCGCTAGGCGGCTCGGGGGTCCCCGGCAGCCTGCCTCTTCCCTCCCGCTTCCTCTGCTGCTGCCCCCAACCAGGTCTGTGCGACCAGAGCTAGTTTGTTTGTCCAGCCTCAGCCGCCGCCGCCCGCACTGTTTGCCGAGCTTAGCGCACCGCGGAGCAGTGCCGGCCAATTAAGTCTCATTCATTATTCAGTGGCCTGGGCCGTCCCCGCCCCCAGCCCAAGGCTCCAGCAGCTCTCAGGGGCCCCTCCCAGCCTCGGCCGCACAGTGCGCCCACAGTTAAGAGGCCTTATAGGAAGCGGCATTTCGTCCCCGGGCTGGGCTAAGGAGTGAGGGAGCTGAAGGTGTGAAGGGAGCAGAAGCACTCGTCCGGCTGCAGGGAGGCGACTTGGGTGAGGCTCGCAGATCCTATCCCGCCCCCAAGTCAAGCCTGGGGACGTTGAAGATCCGATCTCCTCCTTTACAGAGGACGAAACTGAGGCTCAAGAAGCGGCTTGACTTGGCCAAGGTCACGTAGCAGGACAAAGATTTGAGCCCAGAACGTTGAAATGAAGGCATCTTGCGTTCCAGTTCCATCCAAGCACCGAGACTGGAGGAAGGCGGATTCCTCTGCTTCCTGAGTCCTGGGCTGCGGCCTCTCTCACCTGGCGGGCCGCCCCCATCTCCTTTCTCTTTGTGATCCTGTTTCTCCCACTTTCCCATAGCCTGCGGAACAGAGTAAACTCAGGCCTCCCACTGGGTCGGCAGGCTCCTCAGGTCTCAGGCTTAGGCCTGGATGAGATCTGGATGCAGTGTCCCCCTGCCCTGTAGGTCTGGAGGAGGGCATTGAGGCAAACTCTGCGGGGGTTCCTTCCTGCAGCCTATCTGTGGGTGTCTCTGCGTTGGTTAGGGAAACTGGAAATGGAGCCATCCAGTGCAGCCTTGAAGGGCAACGGGAGTGTGCAGGGAGGAGAGTGCGGCCTGAAGTGAGGGATAAGGAGCCACCTTCCCATTTTTGGAGGCAGAAAGGGACGAATAAGGGCCTGTTTTTGTGTTGATAGGGTACTGTCTTTTTTAGCACTACCTGCGGGACATCCTTGCTCCCATCAGCTCTGGGCTCCTTTGCGCCAGCATACCACCAAGGTGAGGCAAGGGACCCGCCCGGCCCCGCCCTTCTGTAAGTGGCCACGCCACCTGGTGGCCGTTTTGCCGCAGTGCAGGCGCTTTGGGCCGGGGGTGGGGCACTGCGCCAGCTTCTTTGAGAACCTTGGAGGCTGGACGCGCCTGGAAAACCTTAAACCGAGTTTACCAGAGAGGGCAGGCGAGAGGAGCCCAGGGCGAGAAGGTGACCCCGAGAGGGCCGGGGAGGGCTTTGGAGAGGGGCATGGCTTGGAATGGCCCAGCCTTCTTGATTTTTACCCAGCCGACAAAGACAAAGTCCATATGGATGGAAGTGGGAGCGGAATAAGAGGGGCCATTTTGACTCTGGTCAAAGGAAATGACTGGTCTGACAGGGTTGGGAAGTCCGAGCACCCAGACACGGTCGCTAGACCAGGGACTAGCGGGTACTGGCTGCTGGTCTGTGAGGCCCGCTCTAGGTAGAGGGGAGAGTCTGCAAGCACGCTTTGGGGTCTGGTTTGACATGCTGGCGATTGGTCTGGCCAGTCTGGGGAGGTTTTCCAAGCCTGCCTTGGAAGGAGGTAGTTGAATTGCGGGGTGCCAGGGTCAAAATGTGGTTTTCCAGAACGGTTTAGGTGAAGGGAATTCAGGACCATATATCTTATAATCTCGCGCTCATCCTTTTCAAGTTGGGCTTGTGGGAAAGTTTCTTTATCTGGAGAGCTGGGGAGGCTGGGGAGGAGCTAAAGCCTGGGCCAAGCGTCTGAGGGCGGCCATCCTAGGAGATAAGTAGGACGGGGCAGGGGGCTTTCAAAATATGTGGAAACTTTGGAAGGACATTCTATTCCCCTTCTCTCCCCTTATCTAATAAGCCATTTCCGGAGTCAGTGGTCTGAGGGGAGGTGTGAAATGTAACCTTAATACTTTTTTTTTCTTGTCTGTGTGCTGCGTTCTCAGTTACTCAACTGAAGGCATTTAAAACATTCCCTAAATTTGGAGTCACTGTAAAGAACAGAACTGAGATACTAGACCAAAGAGTGTGGGAGAACTAGCATTTCAGGGACATGCGGGAAGAGCTAGACTTAACTTTTATTGGAAGGAGAAATAGTTACTGTGTTTGGTCCTGGATATAGACCTATGACTGATTTTTTTTTTATCCCATAGGGTCTAAAGATAGCTCTGGGGCCATGATTATCACGAGGACCCTGAGATTTCTGCATTCCGAGCAATGTCAGATGCCACTGGACTTGTTCTGAGATCCCTGCCCTAGACAATGGCCAAGGGACTCTTGGTGACCTATGCCCTCTGGGCTGTAGGGGGCCCAGCTGGGCTCCATCACCTGTACCTGGGGCGAGACAGCCATGTTCTACTCTGGATGTTCACTCTGGGACGTGGAGGGCTGGGCTGGCTCTGGGAGTTCTGGAAGCTCTGAAGCTTTGTAGCTTAGACCAACAGAGCGCAGGGGCAGAGACAGAGCCCAGGAGGGGGGACAGCCCCTCTGAGTCCCATTCACTTTGCTGCCAGATGATATTGGGTATCAGTTTTGGCCTTGTTGCTCTGATTAGCCTTTCTTCCATGGCCAGCTTCTATATTGTGGGCCTCCTACTGGCAGTTGGCCTAGGGGTCTTGCTGGTGGCTGCTGTTGGCAACCAGACTTCAGACGTTAAGAACACATTAGTGACAGCATTTCTTACTTCCCCTATCTTTTATGGCCACCCCATAGCCATCCTGCCCATCAGCTTGGCTGCTAGCATTACAGCCCAGAAGCATCGCTGCTACAAAGCTTCAGTAGGGTCAGAGACACTCAGTGTGCGTCTCTACTGGCTGGGCTTGGCTTATCTGGCTTTCAGAGGCCCACTAGCCTACAGTGCCTTCTGCAACACAGCTGCCACTCTCAGCTATGTGGCAGAGACCTTTGGCTCCCTCTTGGGCTGGTTCAGCTTCTTCCCCTTCTTGGTCACATCATGGAGTCTGTCCTCCTTCTGCCTTAACAAGTCTGGAGGCTGCTGGTAGGGGATCCTGTCTTTAGCACCGGCTACTTCTAGGACTGGGAGAAGCTCTATGATTTTGTTTACAGTTTTCAGGATGAGAAGTGGCAGCTGGTTTACCAGGTAAGGCTTTCTTCCCTCTCCTTCCTGTCTGGGATGATTATTATTACTGAAGCTGGTGACCCTTATATGGAAGTACTGTGCTCATGTCTGCCAGGCCAGGCTCTGGAAGGGTGTCCTGGCTTCTTTGTGTGCAATACGTGATAGTGCAGAGGCTCTAATAGTGAATGGGAAAAGTATATGTATATGTTATTTATTTTTTATTGAGGTATAACATATATAAAGTGCACTAATTTTATGTATTCACCTATGTAACCACCACTCAGAGCAAGGTTCACTCGTGCCTCTTTCCAATCATTACTAACACCTCCAGAGGTGACTTCAGTTGTGACTTCTATCACCATAGATTAGTCTTGCCCATTCTTGAACTTTATATAACTGGAATCATCTAATATATACTCTTTTGTATCTGACTTCTTTCATTCAACATTATGTTTGTGAGATTATTCATACTGTTGCATGCAATTGTAAATTGTTTTCATTACTGTATAGTCTCCCATTGTATGAATATACTATGATTCATTTATCCACTCTATTGTTGGTGGACATTACAGTTGTTTCCAATGTGGGCCTATTGTGAATAAAGCAGCTGTGAACATACTTGTACATGTCTTTTGGTGGACATATGCACTCATTTCTCTTGAGAAGGGGAGTTTTGATTGTCAGAAATGTGAAGTTCCAGGTTGGAAAATGGGCAACTGTGATTAAATGCAAAACATGGTTCTTGATAGGAGATCCAGAACTTGTCCATGTTCCAAAAGGCTGGAATTCTAATCTGAGGCTCTGGGCCTTTCCCACAGGCAAGTAGAAGCCAACTCTAGAGATACCACAGCCTAGTTTAGCAAGGGAGTATGGAGAGGCACCGGCACCCTGACAACTCGTAGAATTCTAATTTGTCGGCTTCTGCTTCCCTGAGGTTTTGGGCCTCCCTGAGGGGGCAACAAATGAAGAAATACATCAGAGTTACTGGGAGCTAGTGAAGATCTGGCATCCTGATCACAACTGCCATCAGACAGAGGAGGTGCAGAGGTACTTCCTGGAGATTCAGGCTGTGTATGAAGCCCTCCGTCAGCCCAGGAAGCCCAGGGGATCGTGGAGGTAAGAAGAAAATTCCTCCTGAGGATGGACTCTTCCTGGCAGAACAGGGCTTCTTGTCCCAGCCTTGCCCATGTGGGGCATCCCAACAATGTTAAAGAAACTTCTTGCACTGGGGATGAGACAACCTTAAAGAAGTGAGAAAGATTGTGGTGGAAGAATGTATTTATGTCTGAATTTCTGACTTCTTGGCTATTGTACTATTATGTTCTTGACTTTTTTTTTTAACTAGAGAGGGAAAGGCATATTATAAAACCAATAAAATATCTGTTAGAGAATATACCACTTTATCCTACACCTGGGACATTGATGACAAGTGATGGGGGAGATTATTTAACACTGATTTTTTTTTTAAATGTGTAAAACACTGGGTTAGGAGATTGAAGGAAAAATATGAAGGTTTTCATATTCGACAAGCTGTCCTATGAAAGAGGGGTTTTGTCTATTCTCTAGGTTACCAAGAGGGTAAGACTGGGATTAAATTTCAAAATTTCAGAAAGAGATTTGAATTCCATTGATGAAGGAACTTTTTAGCAGCTACACTTTTACAAAGAAGGAATAAGCTGCTGAAGGTTTGGGAGTGGGAGGCAGTTGCCCCTGTTGCAGACCCCTCTGCTTAAAGGAGTATTGTGGAGTACCCTCAAAGTTAGCATGGATAGTTAGACTGGCTGAATTCTCAGGTCTTCTCAAACCTTGAGATCTGATTATGAACTACACACCCTACTCCCTAGGAGCTTACAATCTGGTGTGGGATAGTAACACAGGTGCACAGATATCAAAGTCCACCTTGTTCAGTGTTTTTAACTAAGTGTCATAAGAGGTATAAATAGAATACATTGGAGAGGGACAGATAATATTATCTCATGGGGACTCGGGGAAAGATTCATGATTTTCTATCTCATGTATCCTTATAGGGAAAGGACTTTGGGAAACCCTAGGGAACCAACAGTTTGAATGTCTCGGGGGGGACTTATTTAATTTTCAGACAACTAGGCAATGTGGAAAAAAGAGCCTAGGACACCTCATTTTGTTAAAATTGTGTATCTTAACTCCAGCTTTCTTGCTTTTTTTTTTTTTTTTTTGGTGCATTGAATGCAAATTATAGATGTTTTTTCTTTGCATTCGTATAAAAAAATGCATAAAATTTTTTTTCAATAAATTTACTTATATACTCTGATTTCAAGACCAAATTAACTTTTACATCTTTTTAAAGTTGCCAAAAATTGATATACATTTCCTTTGAAAAATATTTACAAATTGTCAAATTATCACATGAAATTTTCATAGACTATTAATAAGTAACTTATTAACATGATATGTAGTACTGTATCAGGAAAATGTAAATATATTAAAAATCATCTATAAGAAAAAAGAGACAAAGGAATGATCGGAGCTAAATTTACTTGATTTGGAAAATTATTTTATTCTCAAATTTTGTCATGAGTTTTTGTTAGAAAAGTATGGATATACTTTAATTTATTCAAATGTTCCCCTATTGATGAGCAGTATCTATATTTTGTCAAGATGAACAATACTACGATAAATATCACTGAATATATGTATTGATGCTTTTTGTTTTTTTGAGGATAGATTCCAACAAGTGATAACGTAGGGTCAAACAGAATATATATTTTAAATTTTGACTGATATTGTCGCTGGTACTTCCTATAAGGTTGTGACAATTCACACTTTCACCAGCAGTGCTTCATGTGTGGCTATTTCTTTGTAATTGGCATGACGTGTTACTGCTCTTTAGTTTTTGCCAAGATGATGGGTGAGAGATCGTATCTAATTACTTTAGTTTGCATTTTCCTGACTCCTAATGAAGTTTAGCGTCTATTATGGATTGAATTGTGTCCCCCAAAAATGTGTGTCAGCTTGGCTAGGCCATGATTCCCAGTATTCTATGGTTGTCCACTACTTTGTGATCTGATGTGACTATCCTATGTGTTGTAAATCCTAACTTCTATGATGTTAATGAGGCAGGATTAGAGGCGGTTATGTTAATGAGGCAGGACTTAATCTACAAGGATTAAGTTGTATTTTGAGTCAACGGCTTCTGAGATATAGAAGAGAGAATCCAGCAGAGAGGAGAGGGACTTCATGCCACCAAGAAAGAAGTGCCAGGAGCAGCATACTTCCTTTGGACCTGGGGTCCCTGCACTGAGAAGCTCCTAGAGTAGGGGACAATTAATGACAAAGACCTTCCTCCAGAACCGACAGAGAAAGACTTCCCCTGGAGCTGGTGCCCTGAATTTGGACTTCTAGGCTCCTAGACTGTGAGAGAATAAAAATTCTATTTGTTAAAGCCATCCACTTGTGGTATTCCTGTTATAGCGGCACTAGATAACTAAGACAGCATCTTTTCAAATATTTATTGGACGTTTACATTTCCCCTTCAGTGAATTGCCTGATCATATTCTCTGCCCCCCCTTTTTTTTTTCCCAATTATGTTCTATTTGTCTCTTTCAAATCTATTTTTTTGGTATCCTTGCTTCTTAGGAATCTTAAACCTTTGTCATACGTGTTATAGATGTTTTTTCCCTATCTGTGGCTTGACTCTTGATTTTGAGAATGAATTTTAATGTCAGAAGGATCAGGATTTCAATGTGGTTCCATGATTTTCTAGCTGTGTGTTTTTGAGTTTCTTTAACCTTTTGGAGTCTTCCCATTAAAAAAACATTTCCAAAAAGTCAATTCTGACTCATAGCGACCCTATAGGACAGGGTAGAACTGCCCCACCAGCTTCCTAAGGCTGTAATCTTTATGGAAGCAGTCTGCCACATCTTTCTCCCACAGAGCAGCTGGTAGGTTCAAACTGCCAACCTTTGGGTTAGCAGCCGAGCACTTAACCACTGTGCCACTAGGGCTCCTTCTCAAGCCTTAGTTTCCTTTAAAACAGATAATAATATTATCTTCTTTTAAAGGGTTGCTGGTGACTTTGGATGAGCTACTTATCACTCTGGACCTCAGTTTCTTCCTTGTGAGGGAGTTGGACTTAGATGACCTCTGAGATTGCTTTCAACACTGATTTCTGTGGTGGTTAATGTTTCTGCTGATGCTTGTGTTAAATGATTTGGCTTGTCATTTTCTGTCTGCCTTTTGGTAGATATTGTCTTGGAAAGAAAATATATGTATAATTACTTGAAGAATGGTATAATGACCACCTCCCTGCAAAAAAAATCACCTGCATCCCACAGTCCCTGTTTTTATTTATTCATGCTCTCTTCTAGTTATCATCCATAAATGTACATAATTTTTATATGGTTGAGTCATATGAAGGATATAATTTTGTACTGTTTTTTCCCTCACTGAATTTTAAGCATTTTTACAAATCGCTATAAAGACTTCATTATATATGTATATATGTATGTGCGTATTTATATGTTAATATGCTCAGCTAATCAAAGGTTGGAAGTTCAAGTTCACTCGGATGCACCTGGGAAGAAAGGCCTAGTGATCTACTTCTGAAAAGTCAGCCATTGAACACCTTATGGAGCACAGTTCTACTCGGACACACATGGCGTTGCCATGAGTCAGTCAGTTTGACGGCAACTGGTATTGGTAATATACATCCAAAACCAAAAAAACCCCAAACCCATTGCTGTTGAGTCAATTCCAACTCATAGCGACCCTATAGGACAGAGCAGAACTGCCTCATAGGGTTTCCAAGGAGACGCTGGTGGATTCGAACTGCCAACCTTTTGGTTAGCAGCCGAGCTCTTAACCACTGTGCCAACAGGGCTCCGGTAATATACATATATATTTAAATTGAGATATAATTCACATATCATAAAGTTCATCCTTTTAGAGTGTACTATTCAGTGGCTTTTAGTATATTCACAAGGTTGTGAAACTATCACCACTATCTAATTCCAGAATATTTTCACCACCCCAAAAAGAAACCCCCTACACATTAGCAGTCACTCTCCATTTCCTCCACACTCCCAGCCCCTGACAACCATTAATCTACTTTCTGTCTCGAAAGATTTGCCTATTTTGGACATTTCATATAAATGGAATCAGACGATATGGGGCTTTTTGTGTCTGGCTCCTTTCACCTAGCATGACGTGGTCAAGGTTTTTCCATGTTGTAGCATGTATCATCGTTATATTTTAAAGCTATATAATATTCCCCTTTTGGGAGACATTTAGGTTATTAATATATATTTTTGTTGTTAGAAAGAATGCATTGGTATCTTCATGCCTCTAATTCATCTATTCTCTTGAGTTATTTCTTTAGAATAAATTCCCATGGGTGGGATTACTGGGTCAAAGGGTATGAACATTTTTATTGCTCTTGTCAATATTGCTCTTCAATTGTGATGCCCAGAACTAAATGCAACTCTCAGATGTGTTCAGACAGAACCGGGTACTGTGGGGCTATTAAGTTCTCAAGGTCTAGACAATATATCATCAAGCAGCCTAAGAATTTATTAGCTTTTTTTGGTTGCTATGCAAGTGTGACTCATTGAGTTTATAGCAACTAATACCCTTAGATCTTTTCTTAGGCACTGTGTCTTAGAGCTATGTTTGTTTGCATCTACTTCTAGGACTCAGGAGGCTTTTGAGAACTTCTTGGCTTGAATTTAGTATTCCTTTGTTTTCTTTTTTCTTTAACAGTGGGGGATTCTAACAAGCTGGCAGGAGGTATGCGTTTATTGCAATCCTAGCTAAGACCTGAAGATGGCGCCACAGGCTGTCACAAGGGTAAAATATGTCCCTTCACTTTTTTTAGCATCTGGTAGTAGCGCCTCCTTAGCAGGTTCGTCGCCAGAGTTCCAGTCCTCCCCTTTTGTTGAGAAGGAGGCAGTAACTGCGGAGTTGAAAATGGGGTGCTATTCTGTGCAAGCTCCAATTAAAGTATGCTTTCCAGTAGTTATTTGATTGCCTAGGGGACTCTGGTGGTGCAGTGGTTAAGCGTTAGGCTGCTAAGCAAAAGGTAGACAGTTCAAATCCACCAGCCGCTCCTTGGAAACCCTATGGGGCAGTTCTACCCTATCCTAT